TCAAAAAAACCCTCCAAACAGAAAACATACCTCAGAAACACCTCTGTGTTTTCCCTGCCGCTGCCTTTGTGGAGGATCAGTGCACCTACATCACACTGAGCAATTGTCTACGAATAGATAGTCCTATCCAGACCTGCCTCTGAGCAAAAGTTCGGGAACACCAGGACTTTGCACAACGTCATGCAATGGAGAATTGCTCTCTATAAAGCATGTGGCAATGCTTCAAAAAGCCAAAATGGCCCAGTGCTGCGCATTGTGCATTGTATCGCTTTTTTTTTTTTAACCTATTGTTTCTTTGTTATGCTGTACAGAGGAACACTGGAGGAGGGTGTTGGCCTACAGTGCCTGCCGCCGTGGTGGCACCAACTGCTTCAGGCAAGGTTTGATGGAGTTAGTTCTAGCCTTTCCACTCCGTAGGCTTGCATTCACACTAAAAAATATCCACTTGTGTACTTTCCAAAACTCCTGTTTAATATTTACCATTCAGACTCATCATGTGCTTGCTGTTCTTCTTGCAGGTTAACCTCTTCTGGGTCAGGAATCCTGACCTCAGGGAGAGCTGGTGAAGGGTAGGCTGTACAGCAGATTGTTTCTTTCCGTTAAGTCTTAAACTGCCCACTTTCATTGGGTTTTTTTGTTGGTTTTCTTGCTATCATTAGTTCAAGACTTCTTTCTGCCTGCCTAGATATGTCTATGGCCTCCAGCCCTGCAGTATCCACTGCCAATCAGATCCTCACGGCACCTTCTGTGGTAATCACAGAATTGCAGAGCGGCTGACATTGAAAGGGACCTTTGGAGGTCATCTTGCCCAACCTCCTGGTCAAGCAGAGCCACCTAGAGCCAGTTGCCCAGCACCACGGCTAGACAGTTTTTGAGTATCTCTAAAGAGGGAGTGAAAACAAGTAGTATTATTCCCATTGTGCAGATAAAGAATCAAACAGAAAGATTAGGGGTTTGCCAAGGAAGTTAAGGAACTGCAACTATAATTTTCATCCACACTAAGCCTTATTCAACAGCGCTGGGCACTTCAGAGATTATTCCTGCCCAGTGGTGGTACAGGTTGAATAAAGAAGCTAAAAGGCTGAAAAAACAAATCCAGTGAGTGGTGTGATGGTGGTTAACTCAAGTAAGCATCACAGTTTTATTTAATAAGCACTTTGATTTTTTTTTCAATGGGTAGAAAGTAGCTAAATGAAAAAAACTGATTATCTAAAAGAAAAAAAATAGCCAGGGGAAACAAAAAGGAAGAAAGTGAAGGACTGCAGGGGGAAAAGGTTGAAGATGAACAGATGTTAGTGCAAGACTCAAGCTGCTACAAAATCTAGCCTGTCCACTGGTGCAGTCTCACCAAGCCCAACAGTTGAGGTTTGGCCAAAGCATACTATCTGCAGTAGCAACCAGGCTTGATCTAAGACTACTAAGACGAGGCCAATCCACCATCATCCTTGGTTAGAAAAGGGAGGGAACACGGAGAGCAGAGGGAGGCTGAGGAGTAGGGGCTGTAAGGCACGTACAACAGAAGGGCAGGGAACGGGAGGTTAAGAGGTAGCTCTTCGTGGGATGAGGTGCTCTGCTGGCCCACGAACTGGCTGAGGCTACTGCTATGCTGGCTCCTGGCATTTCTTTCTCAGGATCACTCCCGAGACTCCACTCATACTTTCTTAGGATAATTTCTGATCCTAAACGTTCAAAAAAGTCATGTAGACGTCTATTTAAACTAGTATCTATGGATCTCATTTTCTTTCGTGGCCGTTCGGCCTCTGTTCATGTTGTCCTCCTGTGACGGATTCCCTACTCCTTCTGCTCCTCCCGAGCTGCAGGGTACCCCAATCAGCTGCCAACTCGGGGAAACGGCCCAATTCTCTGCCTTTCCCGGAGCTCCTGAGCCCACGGCAAGGCTTGGCAGCCGACGCGCGGCCCCGGCGGGAGGGAGGCGGGGACGTGGACGAGGAGGAGAAGCAATTTTAAGACCACACGCGAGG